GAGAAGTCTGGAAAGTGTCAAGGAGTGAGGAAATATTAAGTTGACCTATTTTATTATGAGTTGGATCCATTTATATTATAACTTTAAATTATACTTTACATTTAATACCCATTACCCTAGCTCAACAAGCATACAAAAAAGTTGAATTTCAAAGCAGTTCTGTAATGTATTTGTAATTTGCAAAACACTGAGGAAGCCTCTGAGCTAGCAGGCAGTGAATGTAATACTTGCCTCCTCTGGACATGCATTGAACAAGGACAGTTGTAAAACTTCCATTTTCCCACAGTAATTTAGATCTCACAATGTTTTCATGTTGCTAAAAACCCATGTTATGAACAATGGCCACATAATTCTTTTCAACCTTTGAAATGCACTGAACTGGTATTTCTTCAGCTCCATTACTGTCCCAGTGTCCCCTAGCCTGCCTGTCTACCTTTCTCCTTCTAGGAATATGGGTGCATACCTCAGACACATAAGAGTCCTTTTCCTCTGGCTGATATGACTTGTAGCTCTGATCCAGTTCCATGTTTGGATCCACATCGATGGCAGTGGTGTTGCTGCTGCTGTGGTACAGATCAGAGGTCCTGCTCTCTCCGATGTCCCAGTCTGGGGCCTCCCTAAAGTCAGACTGCTGCATGCATGGGCAAGTTAATGAGAACAAACCAAAAGAGCAGAAAAGAAAAAACAAACAAACAAAACAATGGGTCTCAGGAACAATAAAGAGAGCTACAAGACAACAAAAAGGATGAAGAGGAGGAGGAGCTTCACTACCGTGGCAGAAGACAAAGTGGAAAACAAAAGGAGACACAAAATGAGCAGACACGTGGGCTGGATTGTTTGGGAACGGGAAAAAGAGAAAGAGGGAAAAAATGTGCAAACACCAGTTATGGTGCCATGCAGTGCCTGGGGTGGGATTGGGGCTACTTTAGGGCAGGGAGGGGGCCAGCACATGCACAAAAATAGAACTCTGAAAAAAAGAGTGTGCTTCAGGAGGCTGCAACCCAGCCAACTTCCCAGAATTCCGCTTTTCAAAGTAAAGACCTCTCTTAGGTCTTATGCTAGATTAGAACACCACCAATCTTTCCTGATAAGTGAATATGTCCTCATCTAAAAATGGCAACTTGTTGCACAAGAATTAAGCCAGAGAGGCTGGATGTGTAACCAGACCCATAATTTTGTCTGCAGTTTCAAGCATCCTTCCAGCAGACCCCTCTATAAAAGGGGTATTGCTGTATTGCCTTCCAATACAGCAAAAAGCAAAACAAAAACAACACTTTCCTACAACAGGGTCCACAGAACCATTCTCCCAACTTGCTGAACTAAGCAATTGAGACAACACACCAGGTCAAGCTAAAAATGGGCTTCCTAGTCTCTTCAGTCCTTGGAAACTGCCTTCTTAAAACCAGTGCTTTCAAATATGCATCCTAGCATTAGGAGGAAGCACAGTTCAAGCCTTTCAGTTGGCAAGAATAAATATTCTTCATCCCTTGCATATGTAACAAATAAAAAATATGCTGAATCCATTTGGAAAAAATCTCTACCAGGTGAGTGGCATTCCTGGGTTATGTTTCAGGATTTGTAGGACAGCCCAACAGCCTGCATTCAAAAGCAGCAGCAGCTGCTGCTCCTCTCAGATAAATATATGGTTTCAAGTTAAACCACATCTTGTTGCACTGATATCAAGTGTTAGTAGTTATGTTGCCTTGTGTAAATCAAAATGACACTCTTCATGTTTCAAATAAAATACGATAGATAGCTTCGGGGCCAAACTAGATGAGATTCATATATGTTGCTCTAGGGAAGCAGCAGTGTTTTCTCCCATGCTCTCTCCCCAGTGTAAATCCCCACACACCTGGCTGCTATTTGGATAGTCTGGCAGAAAAAGGCAGAGATAGATACATTCTTGTCTCTTTTCCATCCCAATGGAACTAAAAACAGAAAGGGAGAGGAGAGAGATTTATACTGGAGGAAGGGCATCAGAGTAAAAATGCTCTTCCAGAGTACCATTTCCCTGATCTGCTTACAAAAACTGCAAGAGATTTTAAATCAAACAGCTCCTCATCTACTCAGTGTCCTAATGCTGAATCATATCTACTTTGAAGCTCATTTGCTCCTGTTTGAGAGAATTCAATAGGGGTCAATAATTTAACCATCTTATCTCCATCTTACTTTGGACCAATCATGTTTTATATGTGAGCTGTTTAACCTGACATTTATCAATGTGTGTTCACATGGGAAGCCCTTTGTTTGAAATGACCCCCACCGTGAACATCTTCTAAGTTACCATGTCTAGAAAAGTGCTTCAAAGCTAGGATCTCTTCTTACCTAAGTAGCTTTGGCAATTCTGGGGGAGAGACAGTAGGCTACTTCAGGAGAACTCCTTCCACATGAGAAAATGATCCGGAAAAGTCATTACATGTTGGCCCTGCTACTCTGAAAAAAAAGCATGAGTCCATCCATCAAATGTAAGCCCCTCCTGGGAGGAAGTGTGCAACATTTATCTGCTTGCCACAACACCTCTTGCTAATAAATCAACTCTAAGCAGTCAGCATTACATGGCATATGCTTCTCTAGGCAATCCATCTCCTGACCCATGCACACTCCGTTAAACCAGAGTCCTATCTTGTCATTGGCCTCAGTTCCATGCAGTGAGCCAGTTGTTAGTTTGTCTTTTCATTCTGAGGAGGCAGAAAAGGGAAGTTACATTAACAGCGTCAGGTTCTGACTTGTTAAAGCAGGAGAAAACAGCATGGTAAATAAAGCAATAATCACTGCAAGGGAGCCACTCAAAGAACTCAAGGAAACCCTCACCTGGATTTCAGTGTTATGCCCTTTTCTCAGAGCTTCTTTTGTGGAATCCTGAGAGCTGGAGCTTGGCAAGGAGTCCTTCTGGTCTTTCAAGCTGCCTCCAATATAGTCCACCTTCCTCATGAAGGTGTTCAGTTCCTGCTGGAGGACACCGAGTCGCATCAAAATGGCATTGATTAGCTTAGAGTCAGTTGTGCTCTCATTATCCATGGCCTCACTCAGCACCAGTTCTGCACAATCGTTGTCCATGAAGAGTTTGAGGCTGGAGGTAAAGCCATTGGCATCAGAGATCAGAACATCGATGGCTTTGCTGACCAGTGCTGCCTGGTCCCTGATGTCAAGAAGGATCTCAAAGTCCTTGGACGTGAGAAACCTGTTAGGGCTGCTGCTTTCATGAGACTTGCTAAAACCATTGCCAAGTGCTCTTTCCTTGGTATCATTCTCTCCCCCAACAGGCACCTCTCTCCAAAGCGATGTTGGAACACACTGAGCAGAGTCACCTGCCTCAGCATCTGTCTCCAGCATGGGTCGGTTACTCTGGCAAGAGGCAAGGTCACAGCGCTGCAAGTTGGAGAGCAGCACACGGTTCTCATACTGCAGCTTCTTGACCTTGCCACTGAGTTCACTGATTTGGACCTTGGCAGTGGCCAGCTCTTCTTGGGAGGTCTCACTGATCACAGAACAGCTGTCTTCAGACAGAGTGATGTCCAGGTCATGATCTGACTTGTACTTGTTGAGCTCATTCATGAGGAGCTTGTTCTGCTCCTCTAGCTCCATCAGGGAGCGCCGCAGCAGCTCTGCCTCCTCCTCTACAAACTGCAAGTGTCGCCGGAGCTCTATTACACTCTCTCCAGAGTCCCCACAATTGGTCATGGAAAAGGCAAACTGGATGTCTGTCCCCAAGAGTTCTTTGTCACCTTGCCCCTTCATGTCATCCATCTCTGCCCTCAGTCCTCGGTTCTCAACTTCAAGTTCTACTATCCTTCTGCTCAGGATGTTGGCTTCTTCTTCAACAAGCTTCAGGTGGACCTTCAGCTCTGCCTCTCTGGAATGAGGGGAGTCAGCCAGTTCCTCAATAGAAAGAGAGCTTTCCAGGTCCCCATACAAAGACCGATATTTTGTTAGTTCCTCCTTCATACTGTCATTCTCTTTAGCTAATTTTGTCAGTTTTTTGCACATGAGAGCAGACTCCTCCTTGGCAAAATGCAATTGACACTTGAGATCTGCATTGTCCTCCTAGGATTCAGAAAGGCAAATGGTACAAGCATTACAAAAACTACACTTTTGGCAAGCTACTCTGTGCTATTCTACTCTGTCACTGCCATCTCTCTTGTTGCACAAGACTCACAGTATATATGCTTCATCCATGCAATTTATTATATTTATATCCTAGTCTCACAAGAAAGCTGGGGGGGGGGACTACCAGCTATTTGTTTCCAGTTATTAAGCTCTTTATTTCAGTGCTCCCCAAATATTTTTGCACTTCCTCATTGCTTTAGCAGTTGGAAGTTTAACACACACTATATAAAATCAATTTCTTCTGGAATAAAAGTGTACTGTAATGTCACTTTTACCACATCTAAAATAATCATGTGAGTCTCCTTATATTACTGATTTCAGAGATGCAATACTAGGGCAATGCTTATATCTGTAGCATATCCCAAAACGTATGAGGTGGATGAACCTCACATTTTCTCCCACATGTAGCAAATTACAAAGAGCTGTGATAGGTACCATTACAATTATGCATAGTGAAATAACTTAAGAAAATGTATCCTGCCCTATCAATTTAGCTCTTACGGTACAAAAATCGTAGCAACAGCATAGCTAAAACCCACTAAGTAGAAATAGGTTAAAACAGAAAAGTAACAAACACAAGCATCTTGTACTTTGTAGACCATTTGTCCAATATATGATTTTAGGGACTCTATAAATAATAAATCAATAAACAACAACTACTACCTAGTATTAACATTGGAAATGGAACTTCATAAAGCTCTACTTATTCCTAAACATACAAGTTTGAAAAACAATGTGAGAAAGGTACCTGCATGCACAAACAGGGATAATATGAAGCAGAATCAGTGCAAAATATTACAGCCCAAAAAGCTCTGAGCACATTAAATATCTAAAACAGTCATTACACATGCACTTGCACACAAACCAAAGTCCAGCTTTTCCTGATCAAACCCGCAAGGCACCTTGGAAAGTCCTATTTATTGCATGTTGCAATACCTTCTTGTTCTATAAAAGCTGCCATTCCAAGGAAAAAAGGTTGTGTCCCAGCACTATTCACCCAGCCATTACCTGCTAGAATCTACCTTTATTCACCCTGAGCTCAGAGGAGGGAGGAGTTAGGGGATTTCCCTTCCACATCTGGAAAATGTTAGTTCATATGGATTTAAGCTGGAGAGGCCAAGGCTGCCATTGTCTCTCAGGAAAACTGTCCAAGAAGAAAAATAAGTGGATGACAGAATAATTTAATGCCTAGGGAATTTGTGGATTGTTTGGGAAAATGTTGAGTAAAAAGCCAGAACCCTACAGTCTGGTAGAGGCAAAGCACAGACTTCCTGAATAAATCTCTAACTTGGAAAAATTAAACTTGGTATTTTTTGAACAGTTCATCAAAGGAAGTGCCAGTGATGAAAGATTTGTACAGGTGCTTACTTGAAAATTCCAGAGAAAACACCATTCTGGGAATTCCAGTAATGAAGTGCTATTTTCACAACACAACCATGATAAGTTAACATTTGAGCACAGTTACAGCAAGAACAGAGCAATAGGCCTCACCCACAACAAATGTGCAATGATTTAAATGTTGGCATGAATTCTATATCTGTACAGTTATAAACATGCAGGACTCTCTTCAAATAACTGGTAACCTGTTCCAGGGTTCTAGACTGTGCAAAGAGACTCCCACAAGCATACAGTTGTACTAGCCTAGAATCCATCCCACTCATTCAGGTATGTCACCGTCCTTGCCCACCAAGGTTATACTGTGAGTACAGGGGTTGAGGTGCTTTATGTCAGGTAGTTAGCAATTCTGGAAATGTCTCAGATGGAGCAACTTCTCTAGGCACCCCACCCCAATGTTTGATTGATTGCACTCCAATTCAGGTTTCCAGGAGGTTGAAACAGTTTTGGTTGGGGGGGGGGGGAATGTAGTCAGGGACCGATTAGCTAGACTGGTTCCTTCTCCCTAGCTGGTACCCCCTTCAGTGTTCCATAGCACAAGAGGCCACAGAAGGATTCCACCTAGACCTCAAAGGAGCAATGGTCACCCTTCTTCATTCCTGGAAATCTTCCCTTTGGGGTATATTCCATAGAATACAAACAGAATGGTAAATCTTGAAACAGAAGCTCTTTATCCCTAGTCCACTGCACTGCTCACTTGCTCAAGCTTGCTTAAACCCTCTGAGACACATACTGCATTTTTAAACTCTATACTGTGCATTAATAAGCAGAAGAGCTGTTTGGAAAGGTCCCTGGAAGGCTTGTCTTGTCTATGAATTAAAAACACCAGAAGTGGACCAGAAGTGCGTTTTCAGAACACAAGGTTTTTATATGGCTCCTAACATATTCCAACTCTTTAAGCATTTAGTCCTTCATAAAGCTCAGTAATTAAGGGAAGAGAAAGAGAGATTTTTAAAAATGTCCCCTAAGTCCAAAAGTAAGGGAGAAAAAAAAATCTCTTTTCAAACAGACCACCTGTTAGCCCTAACTCACATTAAACATCCATTAAAATATACATGTGCATCCATTCAGAAGTATGCCCCTCTATGCTCAACAGGAATCTCAAGATAAATGACTCAATCCCAGACCCCAAACTCTGGGTCCCTACAATACCCCCTGCAAAACACAAGCCCATGAGGGATGGTGCATGAGGAGATAACAGACAGAATTACCTGGTTTGCATGCTTGATACAGCCTACAGTGGCTTATTTATGTCATGTGAGCTGTGGTACTTGCTGGATGGAATTTGAATATACAACACCTGGTTACTGTTTGACAGGTCATGTGAATCTAGGTGACATAAGTTGCACAAGGGTTAAACAACCCATCTCCTGTTGTTGGGAACTTAGCCTACTTTCTGGCATACTGGTTTTAAGTATGCACAAAGGGTGGTTTTTTGTTTTAACAGAGAATGGAAAGCTCCCTCTACTATAGTGCAAAGCAGTATAGTCTGGAAGGAAACTTTCATATGCTTGTTCTGCATGTTTGAGCTGGCTCTGAGATTATCTAGAATGAAGGACAGCAGATGTGGAGTAGCTGAAGGAAGTAAAATTCTGCTTCAACTCAAAGGGCAGACATGCTGGCCTTCTGAAAGAGTGTGGTTGTGATTCTATTACCTGTTCCTCAATAAACCTCACAAAAGAAAGGAAAGTTAATTCTGATCAGTATATACTAACCTCAAGGCAAGCCACAAGCGGAAACTGAGAAAAAAAAAGTTGTCTCTGAAAAAGCGCATGGCATGATGGGAAATGAGGAAGTCGGCTTTACAGTTTGAAGTATGTTTCTGGCTCATTCCAAAACTGAGTCAAGGAAATACGACTAAAGCACTGTCTACATAAACACTGTTCACCACTGGATTTATTTGTTTCCCTACAAAAAAGAGAGGCAGGAAGAAATTTCAGTTCTGCTGTTACACATTATTCAATCACTGCCTCTTCTCAAAATCCATTAAGAAATATTATACAGTTTGTAGATATTTTTTGTTCAAAGTCCCTGTGGAACTTCAGGGATTTGAATTTTTCTCCTTTCAAGGAATATTACCTCATAAAAAGTGACCGTTATAAATTTAGTTCATTTCCTGTTTCCATAGCTGAGTGCGGGAGAAAAAACTCTGGTAAATCCCTCCCCAGAAAAGAAACTCTCTCCTAGGCACTTAGGACCTCCTTTTCCAGATGTCCAGTACAGTGTGATCATTCAGTTGCAACTGTCACGCCTGAGATTGCATCAGCTATAGCTGAAAAATGCAGCTATTATTAACTCGCCAAAATGCCCTACACTGTTGTAGTATGCTTTCGAAAATTCACTAAACTAGACTGCCATCAGAAATTCAAGAGAGGAGCAGAGGAAAGGTCTCCCTTGAAATAGATGGGAAAACAGTAAATGTGAACATTCACTCTCTTTCAGGTTTCTGAGTACAGCCTTCACAGTGGGCTCAATGGAAGCTCTGTTCAGCAAAACAATGAATAATCTAGAACACTTCTGAGGTGTAATCTTCAGCATCCTTCCAAGGGTTCAGTAATCCAAAAGGCTTCAAATTGGAGACATATGAAGATAGGCACAGGCATTTATGTTGTTCCCAGCTTGGTGCTTTAATCCCGAGTGAGACATTTTGGAGATTCCTCTCAGAAGAAAATATGATGTGATGGGAAAGAACCCTTGCCTCCACCAAAACCATGTTGAGAGACATGCAACTAGTACTGCCCAGGCAACCCTTCCTAAAGTCTCCTTTAATCTACCATATTATATGACCAAGCATCCAAACATGAACACACATACACAAAAATATGAATTGTTACTTATTACAATTCGGTTTAAGAAGTTTTTATACCACCTTACATGAATATTTATCCCAAAGTAGTGTACAAGACAGTAATAAAGATATATAATGGAACTCAGTAGTCAGGGGATGACACTTTTGCAAAGCGAGACTACAACCCCCTTCTAACTTCAAGTACATATACAGCTTATGTCTCCCATATACTTGTTTGGGCTTCCATCTCTTTCTGTACACACTGATTAAAAAACAAATCTTTTAAAAGATCACTTTAAAATATGCAGTTCAGGATATTGCACAAAGCATTTAAATTGAGTTCAATTTTATGCATTGAAAAAAATAATTTTGGTCAAAGGGTACAACTTGACATTTGGGGCACAGAAATCCCAAACCTCTCCAAGAGGAAATCTAATTTGCAGGCTGAGTCATAATATTTTACTTGTCTACAACAACCACAAAAGCTTCAGCCTGGCACTACCTATCACACAAATAGCAACCAAGGATTCTCACACCCTGGTACAGTTATTTTAATTTCAAAGAAATCATAAACTACAATACAAAATGCCAAAAGAGGTGGGCAGGAAAGCCAAGTATTCTCAGGAAGTGTGAGGCAATTCAGAATTCAAAACAAAACAAATTCAAATCAGTGCACAGCCTTTTTCCTACTCCTCTGTGCGTAATTGTTTTCTTTCTTCAATAACAGAAGTGACAGGGAGGGAAAACACTGATCATTCCTGATCTGCCCTGATTAGTTCCTCCCTTCAAATGTTCAGACAGTACTTTTGTAACTGTCCAAATGGAGCATCTTCACAACTGTTTCATATACTACAACATTCCTATATGGAAAGCATTTCACTTGGATTGACTAGTAATTGAGCATTATTTAAAACAAATATACAGACATACTCACACAGAGTTGACAACTGTGGTCCCAATACATGGGATGAAGGATAATGCTTATGACCCTCTTATCATTTATGGTACATAAAACTGTAGCATATATCACAGAGAGACCATCCCTAGTTCCACCACATCCCACTGATTATTTGTTACTGCAATAAAGCTACTACTGCTCCAATACCTTCTGCACTATAAGCAAGTGGGTTGACATCTTCCCAAGGTCATAAAATATGAACCTATCTACAAAGCTATTTAACCAGTCAAAATCAGGAAGGTGCTAGCACCTTCAATAAAATTATACATATATTCCCCAGCTATAGATCTAACAAATAGTTGAATGCAGAACATACCACCAATTTTAGCTTCACTGCTGACTTAAGAGAGGAACATAAACTCAATTTAAAAATGGCCAATGAAATGCTACAGACTGGAATTTGCACTAGCCCTGATTTTGCTCTGCCACCAGTTATTTCCTTTGCTTCACTGCTTCCTTCTAATGCCACCCTTTGGCATTGTTGCAGGGAATTTGAATATTGCATTCCAGATGTTGGGTCACCCAATTTGCTGCTGAGCACTTAACCTCCACAATGCAAGAGTTAAACCCACACATCATTAAAAGATTTTGCCAGCCTCCTGCTCTACTTGATTAAAATGTGGACATTAGTGTTTCTTATAAAAAGAGGAATTTCACAAGTAACAAAAGTTTTGTTACTGTATGGTTTCAACATCAGCTTTGATCTTTTGCATCAATGTACCAAACTGTACTTAAAAGCATATAGAAGATGATACCCCTTCCACTTGTTAGCAAGTGAAAGAAACAAAAAACACTCATTTGGCAGGGCATGTTACAACTGGTAAATATGCTGAAGCGGGTGGGTATGCTGGGACATATGAAAATATACAGGACTGTAACCTATTCCTAACAAGCAATTTAATTACTACAGCACACACCTCTGCTTGAACGGCAAGAACTGACGTGTAAGCTTACACTAAGTAAGGCAGAGCACGCTGTCCTGCTTGCCCACCAAAACAAAGCACAAACCAAGCTTCGTTCACCCCACATATTTGTAGGATGGCGTCACCTCCCAGGTATTTATGATGTGAGACCCAATGTGGTGTAGTGGTTAAAGTGGTGTGGGATTTGGGAAATCTGGGTTCTAATTTCTATTCACCCATGAAACTCACAGATCAGTTTAGGCCAGCCTAACATGATACACAAGGTTGTTGTGAAGATAAAATGGAGAGGATCACTATGTAAGCTGTCCTGGATCCCTTAAAAGAGGGAAATATATAGGATATAAATGAATTTGTATGTGTGCATGTATGCACACATATTGAAAAAAAGTTCCTGGTATAGCTTTCCTGCCCAAGAAGGCAGTGTTCAGGGTAGTGTGTAAGGTTCCCCATGCCAGGTTAGGGTTACAATAGGTAAACAAATTTAGTCCAGAAAACTACATTCCAATGAGCTTTTTGTGGAAAACCCATTTCCCAAAATGTGTTCCTTGGGGGAAGGAGGATACATGACTGCCAGTCTGAATGTACAGCAGAAATTACCGTGTAGCATTGTCAGACTTCTGGACCATCTAGCCCTCTATTATATGCAGAAACAAAAGTCAGTTTCCAGGTTTGAGGCTACAATAGTTTTTTTTATAGAAAGTGCCAGAGATTGAACCTGTGCCATTTTCCAAGCGAGGCAAGTTGGTCTACCACTAAACTACAAGTCCTGCCTTGATGAGTTTAAGAAAATGGGAGGGCAGCAATCAAGTATTGGGTTAAACAACTTGATTTCTGACCCAGTAACTATCAGTGTGCCTTTAAGCTAAGGCACTTGTGGGAAACCTGTTGCACTGAATATGCACCTGGGCAGATGACTTCTTGTCTGTCTTCCCAAGAGAACGTGATGATCTTTTCTTCAAAGAATTCTGAAAGAGAAGAAAGAATGGATTAATGCAAATGGTAGCTGAGCACTATTAACTAGCATCAATTTCTTAACCAAATTCTCCTTCTTTTGCATAAACTGGGTATCAGCCATCAAACATACCCCACCTCAGATGAAACTGGCAATGTTGGGATCACTTTAGCCAGTATGGCTCCCCGACCCCTACAATAAGCTTGTGTTAGCTGTCCAGTGCAATTGCACATACCAAAACTTGTCTAAGATTGACCTTGTCGGTTTCATGAGACTCAAGAGAGTGGGGAAATGAAGCAAAACAACCTGAGTGAAAGTGAGGTTTTTCCTGGCCTTTTCACATTCACCAGAACTCAGGCAAGTGGAGGTAATTGTAGTGGAGCAGAAAGGCTGGTAATGCAGTACATGGCCAGTTATCAATTACCACAGTTCAAATCTACTTTTCCGGCAGTGTTCATTAGCATCTGCAGTAAGCAAGTGCAGTGTATGTGCACTGATATCTGATGTAGAAAAGGCATTAACTTGTGATCAGTGGCACTTGTTATTAATTCAAGCAAGGGAATATTCCCAAACAATCATTAAAGTCCTTGAAACATCTCTGTATGATTCTGCCTGAAAACTGTTGTGTTGAACAAATCACACTCCCTGAATGTAAGAGCAAAAATACAGCACAAGTAAATGACTCCAACCCCCTAGAAAAACCAGGACATTAGAAAAACCTCTCTGTGGAATTCTGCACAGCTCCGTAACTAAGGGGTACTCTCTGACTTTCAAGCAGCAATAGAAATATATCCTACAGAGAGTGAGTGAGGGAAAGGGAGAGGGGGAGACAGAGTAACAGGGACAGAGAGACAAGACAAGTACTGTGTAGAAAATATGGTGTCACATAGGAGAAATCAGAAGCTGGGCTTTCTTTATAAAAAATATATGATCTGGCCAGGGCAACTTCTTCTTCCTTCTCTTTTCTCCTCCTATATTCTTTATTTACTTATTTTATACTGTTAATTTTAATTTTATATTATTGTATCTCAGTGTATTTTTTGTATTTTTGTATTTAGTGGTAATTTATTATGTTCTATTGTATTCAATGTATCTTATTGTGTTGTAAGCCGCCCCGAGGCTTCAGCAAGGGGCGGCATAGAAATGTAATAATAATAATAATAATAATAATAATAATAATAATAATATAAAGAGCTGGAACGCTTTGTAGCTCCTTGATAATTCAGGCACAATTGTGCCCATGTGTTTTCATGTTGGAGAAAAGAATAACTCAGTGCAAGGCCTGATAAAAGAAATTACATCTTAATCACTTTTGCTGTAGCTGTACAGATGAACCTTTGCAAGGTTTAGACAAAAAACAAAACAAAGTAAAACCAAACCTGAATTCTTTAAAGCAGGCTGATTATTACATTCTTTCCCTTTTGAAGTTACAAGGCTCCCTATACAGACCAGAGTTGTTGTTTTTTACTCCCACATTTGCACATTAAAATGTTTTGAAAGAATTTTAACATTCCAGGAGCTAATGATAAGCAAGCAGCTTAAAAGCCATGTCTGTGTAAAGTGCCAATTCATGCAGCACTCCTCCATGAAGGCATCTTCCATTTTCCACCTCAAAAAAAGAAGGAAGATTTAAATGGAACCTGTGCTTACTGATAATTGGGGGAGACATTGTGTGACACTTGTCTGCTCAAAAACTGAAAAATAATCAAAGGTTTCTAAAGCAGAATTATGTACAGAAGACAGGGAGAGATCAGGGGAATTCATATCTAGTGAACAAAGCAAATTTGTAACATTTAAATGTTTCTGTGTTTTGTTCTTCCAACAAAACCATACTGATAGTAAGAAGTATGCAGAGACTCTCTTCATTCTCCCAATAGGGTGTAGAACAGATCCTGTGGGAGGCGAGCACCGAAGGCATCAAATTAGAACAAAACAGCTGTGTTTGCATTATGTTGTAAAGAAAACTGACAACTCCCAGTAATGAAAGCTATCATTATTCTGAACCAAGCAAACAGCAAGGGGCTCCTGGTTGTTGATTGTTCTGAATTATCCCTATATGCATGTATTAATAACCCTCTGAAATGAGCATTCTGAGAAGATACAGTTTATATTAACGCAGGTGAAACCAGACCAACTACTCAGAACATCAGAACATTAAGACCCCTGTTGGATCAAGCCAAAGGCCTATCTAGTCCAGCAACCTGCTTTGATTCTTACATACAAGATGTCCATGGAAAGCCCACAAGCAGGATGTGCTAACTGCTCGTGTTCCCCAGTAACTGGCATACTCAGACTCTTTAGTACTAGGGATCATGGAGAGCCACCGTGCCTATTCATGGAGGATGAAGATCCTCTTTTAAAGCCATCCAAGTTGGCAGCCATCCTTCCCTCTTGCAGCATTATAGTCCATAGTTCAACTATGTGCTGTATAAAGGAGTACATCAGTTTGTGTGTCCTGAATCTTCTATGGTTTAGTTTCATTGAATGACCACATCAGGGTCTAGCGTTATGAGAAAAATACCTTTCACACCTTTATTTTTTCCACACCATGCACATCTTTTATGCATCTCTACCACCATTCTCCATTCAACTTTTTAAAAGCTAAATGGTCCAAACATTTTAACTATTCCTTATAGGAGATCTATTCACACCCCTGATAATTTTGCTTGTCTCTTTCTGCAAGTTTCCCAGCACTACATATAACTGATTAATGACATCCTGTCAATAGGAAGAGGGGAAAAGGGGGACCAAGTGGTTTTTATGGTGCTCTCCAAGGCGACTGATTTGCCAGGGCAGGAAACAGGATACTGAACTAAATGGAACACTGGTCTGATCCAACAGGTTTCTTCTTACATTTTTACAACATACAACACAGACTGTCAGCAGCTCTAACTTAACTTTGGGAGTTTCTCCACCTCCTTGTACACCTCTACTCTCCTCTTTTTAGGTATTTCCACAAGAAAAACTGATTTACCCTATTCTTTGGAACATAGCACTTCTATACATTTCATCCAAATCATAACTTTTAAACTAAACATAGCAAATATTATAGCTTTTTCATTAGATTTACAAACACAG